GTGTGCAGCTATGCTTCAGCTTGTAATCGCTCTCTCTCTCTCTGTGTTTCGCTCGCTCGCTGCTCGCGTTCATATTATATATTAAGTATATTTTTGCCCAACGCGCAGGAGCCAAGTTATTTCTGCGAATCGCGAGTACATGGCTACATGCGCGGCCCTGTTTGATGCTCCTTTTTTTTCTCTCTCCCGTAAGCATGTTTAATATCATCGATTGTATTTTTGGCGCGTGCAGTCATTATAATGCATGCGCGAGCTTGGCGCGCACAGCGAATCACCCGGATATAGCTCGGCGCGATCTCCAATGAACGAGTGTGAAAGGGGCATTTCGATATATATTATTGAGCGAAGACTTGGTGAGTTGGATTTATTGAGAGTTGAACGAGCTGCTGCCCTTTAATTAAGACGATCGTGCCGCCGAGCCATATCGCACAGGGCCTCACTCACTCTTCGCACTCCTCCTGCTCTCTGCTTCTCTCTCTCTCTCTCTCTCGCGCGCTCACTCACTCGTTCCAGCGAGCCGATGAATCTCCCAAATATGTTGAGTGAATTTTTCTCCTTCTACATCTCACATAATATTTCCTATATATATACACACAGGCCGAATTTTTGACAATCGCTTCTCGCCCCAATCCAAAAAGGTATTATCCTTCGCAGCCAATGATCCGGTAATGACCCTGACAGCCACACATTTATATATCTATAGGCAGAGAGATGCATCCGACTCTGGACTCCTCCTCGAATGCCGCTCCACGTGTATATGAATTGCGAGCGAAAAGGAGAGATGGAGAGCGGCGAGTTGCCTTTGTTTTTGCACGCTTTAAACGGCAGTTATTAGCGCTCTCCTTTTCTCTCTCTCTTTCCATCTCTCTTTTCTCGCGCCTCCTCGCTCTCTGCACAACGTGCATCGTATCGCCCGAGCGCTGCAGGTATACACATACGCGCATAATGCCCGTGTCTCGCTAATGGGAGAAAAGAAGTTATGCGCTCGGACTAAGAGAGAGATTGAAAATACCGCTAGTTGCGCGCACATCTTCTCTCCTTTTCTTTCTTAAAGCTCGCTCTCGGCTCGACGATAGAGAAATTATATACGCGTGCGTGTATATGGAGTACAAGTTGCGAAAAGCCAAAAGCCCGTACTTCGGCCAAGAGCGATGATTTCTTTTTGTTGTTGCGCTGCTACTGCATCGCTGCCTTTTGTCTCGGAGCAACTCGTCGTAAAAAATCGAGCGAATCTTTTTGCCTTTTTTCCCCGTCCAAGAGGCTGCGATAAACAACGAACGAAACAAAAAAAAAGAGCGGTATAAATTACCCAAGGTCTCGACTCAACACTTGCAAATTGACGCGAGAACTGATTTTTCTCTTGCGTGCGTAGCATATGAGTGCACGAAGCAACGCAAAAAAACTCGGTGAGTTTCGACTCATTCGTCGTTGGCTTGATTAGGCTTTTGCGCGCAGCAGCAGCGGCAAAAAAAGGGAGAAGAAAAAAGGGGGACGGAAGCTCGAGAGACATATGAGCGCGAGCATCGCTGCACACGCACTCGTGTCGCGTACACACACGCGTTCGATGTAGGTGCGCATACACGCACACGCACACACACACGTACACAACCCGTTAAGACTGTTAAGAGACAAGAGTGCGCGCGGCAATGTAATGACAGGCCACGGAAGGTTCTCTCGCAGTCTCCCTCTCTCTCTCTTTTACTCTCGCCAGCTAATATAGATGAATGCCTCGAAGGCATGAGTAGCAACGGCAGCAACTGCGCGCGTATATAAGGCCCGTGGGGCCCTTTGGCCGTGTGTGTGAGAAGCTCGCTCGAGCCTTTAGCCAGTATGTGTAAGAAGAACCGAGAAAAGAGAATGAGGAAAAAAAGTGGAAGATGAGGAAAAAAGGAGCAAGGGTGTATACGAGCGCACACACACTAACAGACACACAAGTGCAAGAGTTGAAAGTAGAGGGGGTAAAATAAGTGCGAGAGCACTCACACATACGCAGTCAGACAGCTACATACACACATCTATCTATCAGCGCCGGCGCGCGAGCAGCTCGAGGTACGTAACGCTTGGCGCGAGAAGTGGGCGTCGGCGTATGGCCTCTCATTAACTTCGCTTCGCCGCCGCCGCCGCCGTTGTTGTACTCGCTGCAGCGCGAGAGAGAAAAAGAGAGAGAGAGAGAGAGAGCGAGGTGAAGAAACGTGCAAAGTCGACGAGACTCCTCGCATCGTGCCCTGCGTACATGTATAATATGCAGTACACGGCACGCACGCGTCGATCCGTAATGACCTGTCGATTCGTAATTTCATACGAAAGCCGCCAGCTTATTACCCGCGTAAGGTCAATAATGCGATTTTCGCGATGACTGCGCGAGTACCTGCGTACACGTATTGGAACCCTGCGCATATGCATTGCCAACAATAATAATTTGATAATTAAAAAAAGAAAAGGTAAAGGTAGGAAACATTACTACATCGTTTTTTCCTTTTTTTTTTCTTTTTTAATTTACAATATATCGTAACGTACGCGAGAGCGTTAACGACCTCGCGAGCATGTATAACGGAGCGATAAGCATCTTGCGCTGCACGAGCTGCACATATATATATACGCGAGCTTGTACGAGTGCGAGTGTTTGTGTGCATATAACACACGTTGCTGCCGTTGCTGTTAGCCGCAGCGCAGAGCGTAGAAAGAAGGGAAGCTAAACGTCAAGACGTTATCTCGTCGTCAAGTTGAAAGAGCGAGAGAGAGAGAGAGAGAAAGATAAGAGAGAAAGAGATGGATTTTTCTTTAAGTGAAAAAAAGGCTTATTTATACACATCACACGTACAATATATGACTCGGCAATATATCGGAGGCGCGAGCATAAACGCGACGTGCGAGTGCAGGTGCCGATATGCTATTCGAGGTGGTCCCGAGCAAGCCCCAAGGACTTGCTGCGCGGCCCAACGTGATTGACACCTTTTTCAATTCGCTCTCCTTGATACGCGCCTCTGTGTATGCATACTCGAGCTTCCGTGCGCGCTCCATGCCCACTATATACTGCACACAACAAGCTTGATCCTCTCGACATAACTGGTTTGAAAAGGACCCGAGCTTATAGCAGTCCGTGTGTATGCGACTGTGTGGATATATATATGCAGGCAGTTCGTTACAAAGAGCGTAAAGAGGCAAATCTCATAATATTAGGTTTCCTTCGCTATATGGCAAGTATAGGTGTAGTCGTTCACGCCTAAGATCAACGCGCTAGTAGCTGCCTACACGTATAATATAATATATCGAGAGGAAAGAAGAAAAGAAGTAAAGTAACAAGCTCATTGTGCTGCGCGACTTATACTTCTGCCTTCTCTCTCGCTCTGTATGTGTTTTAAAGTCACACACTGGTATAGCTTAGCAAAATATTTCTTTGTCGAGGCCACCGACACACACTCATTTTGACCTTTTTGCATTTTTGTTCGTTGGGGTTCCGCACACACACACATACATGTATATAATGAACGAAAAATATATAAATTGATTGCTTTTTAATAGGCTCGAGCAAACGCGCAAATTCAAACAAGCCATATCGAATAGCACTTTTGCGACCATATAACGCGCGTTTCAATAGAAATTCTCTCTCTCGCACTCTCTCTTTTCTCGGCATCGTCGTAAAGAATAAAATTGTAAAAGGTCGAAAAAAGGCCAGTCGCACGCATATATTTACAATAGCGAATGAAACAAAAGATCGCGCGCGAGCGGCAACAACAGCAATAGCAGCAGCAGCAGCAGCAGCTCGTTCGCGCGAAAAACGATCTGCAGCGGCAGCAGCTCGAGGTTTTAGTTGCAGCAACGCGATATCGTGTTACGAATTTTCTTATGTGTATAAAAGAGCGCGCTGCACACACACACGAAGGCGCCAAAGGCACGCGGCACGAATTTCTCCAGCTGCTGCTGCTGCTGCTGCTCGCGCAAGGATATCGATCGTAGCTGTCGCCTCGCGGATAAAGTGAAATATCCAACTACGTCGCGTGTGAGAATCGCAGTCTGCTCTCTTTTCTCTTTTCTTTTCTTTCTTTTTCTACTCCCCATCGTACATAATACACCACATCCGAGAGCTGTGCACGAACTTTTTTAAAGCTCGCGCGCATGTCTATGATAGAGGATTGGCAGGACCTTTGCCGAGAATTTTCGTTTTCTCTCTCTCTTTTTTTTTCATGTTGTTACGTTGGCTGCGGAGAGGATGGGAGCTGCCGGCGTCGCCACCACCGCCAGGGTATTCGTGATATCTTGATCGTTTTCGCATGCAAAGAGTCTAGCTTAAAATTGAGTTATCAAGTTATCAACGCTAGGCGCGAGAGAGCTTCGACGCTTCCCCATCTTACCCTTTATGTTGCAGCCAGCAACGTGTGTGTATCGATTTATCAGTATGCAGTATATGTATATGTGTAAAGTAGCAGTAGCAATAGTGTAGCAAAGACGAGGGACAAATTTTGAACAAGAGCATAAGAACACGCGATCAGCCAATTAAAAAGGAGCTAATCAACGAAACTCGAATGTGTGCGCGCATGTGTCTACTCGTGCACGATATAATGTTGAGTAATGTGTACATATCGCAAGACAAGAAAGTCGTCGCTCGTCGATGGGAAGTTCCGAAGGCATACACGAGGCGCATTTCGTGGTGCAGGTGCAGACCAATTCGTATGTACATACACGGCCATTTAGCACTTTATATACATGCTCGAGCAGAGGATGCGATTTAATCGCGCGCGCATAATTTAGTGGACACCTTCGCAACGCAGAGCTGCTGCTGTTGCTGCTGCTGCTGCTGCAATTCTCGCTTGTAATACATTCGCTACTCCTTTTTTTTCTCTCCCTCTCTCTCTCTTTCTCTTTTGCTCCGCGCGTTTTAAAAGACTCGTCGAAACTCGTTTTGCGGAGAATGTGTGTCTGTGTTATACGTGTATGCCAATGTATAATGTAAAATATGTGCTTGTGTGCGTTATACGTGTCTGAGCTGATTTTCGACTTACCGATCAAAGTCCGTTAATCGTGAAGAGTCCCGGAAACCTTTGGCAAATGGATTACTGTCGATTTTTAGCCTCGTGATCTGCAAATTGAATCGCGACGATTAAACGAAATTAGTCAAAAAACGTTCGATCCTCAACAAGCTCGAATATAATATAATATAATGAATCATAATAAACGTACCAATTGATTTTGATAAGCCGTGACAGCTGTGAAAATAGCTTCAGGAAAGATGAAAGTTTTGTGCTCTTCGTTTTCCAGATTCGTTATGGGTACGTTTCCGTTATTATTGTTGTTGTGATTCTGAAGTTTGACCAAATGTATCCTCGGCTGGTATCGATGCATCGAGTTCAGGATAATCTGCAACGAGAAGGAAAAAAGAAAATAATCGAAACGCTGTCATTTAACTTGCACTGCTTGCAAGACGCAGTTATCATATTATTACGTGGTGCATATATGAGCCGCTTGAAAAAAGGCGTTTCGCTGCTGCGGAAATTCCAAGCAAATTGCCGCAGCTCGATCTATCCGCGTTGTACACGTGCGTGCGCATATATAGGCTCATTTTTCTTAACAACGTGTTTATCGATTTACATGTTAAGCTCGTTTTTCTGTCTCTCGCGCAACTCTCGCAGGCATTATACCGATTCTTCCGGGCAATTGCAGCGATCGAAGGAAAAAAGATTCGAGTTGCGAGAAAAAATTCCCGATGGTGCATGATTTTTCTTCTCAGTTTTTTTACAACGAGACCCAATACATAAAATCGCCAGCGAAATAATAAGGTCGTCGTCTACCGAGTGCAAGTTCACACTTTTGAAATTTATGGTAATAAGCAGTTGCGCACATGTCGCAGAGAAAGCGAGAGAGGCAAGAATTTATTAACAAATTATTTGAGCTGCTAGTCGTACGTTGTCGAGGGTACGCGAAAATTGAATATACATATACCTGTGCCTGCTGGCACGAGGCACACACACCGTACACGGCTCCTCCCTTTGTCCAATGAATTACGACGGAGATCTTAATAGAAATACTCCGAGGCCCGAGCGATCGTACGTCAGCAGAAAACAGTTCCAGCCCACCTCCGACACCTCTAGCCGTCCGATTCTCTCTTAATAACAATTAAATAAATGTATATAACCGAGGGAGGCAAAGGCCATATCTATTCTCGAGGAGGGGCCGTGTTAGGCGAGTCATAAAAAATCAACGAATATTTCTTCGCTCGGCTTTCGGCCGAATGTTTGGATATAAATGTGATGCGAGTGTCTGCCGTACTCAGCCATGCGCGTGCATATATATAATCGCGTCCGCGTCGATAATAATACCTTCCTGTCCGCGCAACACCTCGCTTTTGCCCCACACCCTAATAACTCTTGCTTCTGCGCGCGCGCGCACGTCTCTATAATTAGAGTAATTTTTTTTTTCTTTGCCTCACTCAATGTTCTTTTTTTTTTTTTTTTGCGAAACTCATGAACAAAGTTACTCTATGAGCACGAACGATTATCGACCTACACGTTTATAAAATGCGTGATGTGCTGCACTGCCAGAATAACACAGGTGCGCGCAGCAGCAGCAGAAAAAAAGGAGAACAGACGAGAATCTTGATAAACCTGTCAGGATTTCTCGCGAAGACGATGACTTACTCCTCCGAAAAATTGACGTTTTCAAAGCTCTCTCTTTCTCTCTCTCGCGTGCGCGATAGTTACATTGCTCAGCTTTCGAGGTCGAGTCTCTCGAGAACGATTATCCGCGCTCTCTCGCTCGCTTATATTCGTACATGCTCTGCATTTATTATAAAAATTGTTTCTTTTTTTTACCTCATCTTTTTCGTTCTTACGCACGCATTGCGTCGAGTTAAATGAGCGTTAATTTGCTTGTAATCCAGAGCAGATTATAACAACGCCTCGCGAACTGCCTGCCGGTGCTCATGCAGATGACGACAGCTCCGCGCGCTGATCGTCGCTCATTTTTTGCGTGCCTGCGTCTATAATACGCTCGACTCTAGCCGCGCGCATGAACGAGTTATTAGCATAAATTAATAGCGCGTATTTTAATGTGGAGCATATATACGCGTATCGGCCATGCGATCACGTAATCCGCGATTTTTTTCTTGTACAATTTTTTTTTTACACAAAAATCGAAATGATCGATCGTAATATACACATTAGCATGTGGCGATTTATCAAACGCCAACGATCGACGATGATAGCTGTTATTATGTATGTATACGCGCGCGGTTATGTATGTCCGACGCTTTTAATTTTTTCTACATTTGATCCAGATCGATTTTTTGCCGATTTAACTAGCCGCGCGCTTAAAGCTCGATCACGCGTCATAATCTCGCGTGTTTTTCTCCGTCGCGCGCAACGTTAATACTCGATGAGTCGATAGCGATATCCTCGATACTATACATAGATTGTAATCGATCGAAATTTTCATTTTTCTCCTTGTTTTTGCTGTTACGTTACGTCCGAAGTCGTAACGTTTCATCGCGCGCAGCAGCCATTACCATCCGTAATAAGTGATTGACAAGCTTCTGAATGTTATCTTTTACATCAAGAATTACGCGTGTTTCGATATGAGTTAATTTTTTTTCTGCTTTTTTTGCACATCGAGCGCGATAGGAGCCGAGCGCAAAAATACCTGCGCCGCAGCGATTTTTATAACAACTCTAGAATCTGCATAATTTCCTAATAACACGATGGAGATCGTCGAGCTCGTTGCCGCGCATAATATATTTATAATAATATAAGTGTAAAACCGGCGAGACGATATATCCATACATATGCACGAGCTTAAAAATCGCGAGCAACAAATAATAGCGTATATCTCTCAATTTACCGATACACGCAAACTTTCGTAATCTCCTCGCGCTGAAAAACAAGAATAATAATATCGGCGCGCGCACGCGGGAATATGCGGTTATAAATCACGATTATCACACCGTTTAATACACCACCCAAAAAACGTGTCTCGGATCGCACTGTAATATATAAATATATATTTTAGCAGCTCGTGATAAAAAAAAAGAAGAAAAGGAGAGGAAAGAAAAAGAAGGAAACAGAACAAGCAGATTAACCGTACGATTTATGAGTGTATGCAAATTTTGGTTATTATATCGACAAAGTCGACGAAAAAAAAAGGAAAAAAATAAAAATTAAGAAGACGATCGTAAGAAACTAGTGAGATCTACGGAAATAATAATTTGGCGTTGCGAATATTCGCTGACAGCTAAGTGCGCATCATCTTTCTCAATAAAGTTATATTGGCCAGCGGAAATAGACGTCGAATCGATTTTTATATGTGTTATTTCTTTGGAAATTTATAACCTCTCTCGCGCAAAATTTCGGAATCGCATGCAAGATATTCATAAGAAATTTATAGATATGTGTTCGTATGTGCTGGAAGAGATCGGTTTGTATGCGCGATATTGGTTTTTATTACTCGAAAGCGATAAGGTGTGAACGAGGATTTCCGCCGATCATGGATAATCATCGCGCCGATCGGCGGCGCAGAAATACGTATCGATGCCTTAACGACGTTTCTACGATAGCACAGCTCTCGTACAAAGTATAGGAGAGGCAACAGCCTCGCTCGCATAAAATGGAGGAATATCTCGCTTTTTCTTTCTTGCGAATCGTCGCATAGACGCTAGGTATTACTGCCGAAACGAGGCAAGTAATTTGGTCACGTAAGCTTTTTTTTTTTAATTCACCTCGCGGTATCGGCCAATCGATTCGCGATAAAAATGTAAAAGAATTTTTTTCCCTCGAGCCAACATCTCTCTTATAAACACCATGCAGATGTAAAAAAGAAAAAGTCACGCAGGTACATATAATATCTCGTATCTCTCTGGGCTTCTTCTCTTTTCAGCCTCTTACTCGTATCGGCCGCGTGTACGTATATAATTGATTTCGCTTATAAGTCGTGCGAGCGCGTGCAAACTTGTTGCGGCTGCAGGTGAGAGACCACCTCGGTCGTGTACACATACACACACACACACACACTTGCAAAGACCTCTCGAGCGAGCGAGCGCACACACGCATACACATGGCGTGAATGTATAGTAGCCAAGAAGTAGCTGGATCTGAAAAGGAAACGAGAGCCAGGCACGGTGTGTATATATAGTGCTATATAGGGATCCATTCTCCGGTGCGGTGCGCGATATCGCTCGTGTTATATTATGAGAGAGGCTGCAGCGCACCGGCTCGCAGCAGCCCAAGGAATCCGTTTGTGCGTTATATTACGCTGCATGTATATGGGCAATTCTTGGGCGCACGCACACGTACGTACGACATTCTCGATATGCTGCTTTATGCCTACACACGCCTATATAGCCTCCCGCTGTTAAGCCAACAGCAGCACCACGAACTATATAACTACTGTACTTTTTCTTTCGCGTTCGAGCTATACGAGTATTGCAGCCTCTATGTATGTATACAAGTACACGTATACGATGATGGCTGAGGCATTTCCATTTCTCTATTTCTCCTGCCACGTGACAGCTCCTCTCTTTCTCCATATAGTAGCATACGTACATGCATAATGCAGCGAACCCGCTAGCTTTTATTTCTCGTGTTGCGTGCAAAAATCGCCGAGACTCGGCGAGACGCGGGCCCGAGCGAGCTATGTAAGCCGGGAGGGGAGCAGTGGCAGCGAAAGAAGAAGAAAAAAGAGAGAAAAAAAATTACGCACGCACACGCCGAGCGAGCCCGAGCGAGCGTAATGCAGTTGCATTGCAGCTCTTTCACTTTTTTACTGCCGCGCGCAATCGAGCGTCGCCGAGGCGTATAACACACTCCCACCTACGTGCGCGCGATACGGATTCGCTTGGCAGCCATTGTTTGGCCGCGAGTCGAGCGCGCGACTTGTGTTGCGTAGGCGTACATACATATAGGCCTGCAACACACACTCACACATGTACCTTATACAACTGCTGAGCTACGATCGAGCTCGAGCCTTCGTCGCCGCTGTTAATATTACCTTCCCTTGACCATTTGCATACGTGCGGTAAAGACTCTTAATGAAAAATCGAGGAAAAAATTTCTCAGCCGTGTGTGTACGCGCCTTATAAACACCTCTAAATGAATTCCTAATGGCCTTGGTAAGTATAGGATAAGCTCGCTCGCGTCGTTAAATGACGAATCTTAAAGCGACCGCAAAGGACGCCTAATAGGAATTTTTCCAGCTCAAACAGCGTGCCTGCTATGGGCGAGTTTACGATTTGAGGTAAGAATTTTGCACGATCGTAGTCGATCGGACGCGTTGTTGCCTCGTAAAACAGACGGTCTCGCGCGCGCCTTCGGTTTTCTATATGATTTCGCACAACTGCAACGAAACGCGTTTATTTCTCTCTTTTTCCTTGTCTTCTTCGCGATTGTGTACGCGTACATTGGTGCAGACAATTTTTATGATACAGCCCGAGATGTATATTCACGTATGAAAATGTTAACACTTGTTCTCGAGATCGTTGAGCCTTGGCACGGGTCGAGTTCACCGCCTCGCTCAAATATATACATATGAAAGAGAAGGAGGAGGAGGACGAAGAAAGAATCTCTTTTTACGAGAAAATATAATCGATAAATTTCTCATAAGCCTATTTATACACAAAATGACACATCCACGGGAGATGTCGTTGTAATAATGATTCGCGAGTGCGCGACTCTGCCTTTGATATTCTCACGATAATGTGACACAAATCACCTCGATAACTTCTTCCCGAGAAAAGTCCAATAAAAAGGTTACTTTATAATCGAGAGAGGCAGGAAGAGAAAAGGTAAGCGTACGATTCGCATACAATCGCGTACGAACAGAAAAACTACATGGAAGAGCATACGTGTATAGAGTATGGGACTCGCATGAGTGAAATTATATTGCGACTGTCGACGACGCGGTTGGCTCACGCCTTCTTGTTATTGGACTAATGTATACACCTAATAATTTCGATACACAAATCTCGAGCGTCGATTTGATGCCTGGGATTAGTATGTATTTACATGACGTACGACATCCTTGAACCAGCTAAAAGATCGAGTCGGTCTCTGATCAAAAGTTCAATTAAAATCCATAAAGAGAAAAAGAAAGAGAGATGCGCGTCACATATGTCGCACCGGTCTCGACGCGTTATTCGGCACAGGTACCTTTACACATGTGTGAATCTCATTTACAAAAATGTCGATACTTTTTCGTAGCGAGAGCAGAACGAGACCTCAAAAATCGCGTGAAAGCGAAGCAAACGAAGAGAAACAAAACCAGAAAGAGGAAACGAAACGAGGCGATGACAGATAACACGTATAATATTATTATTAAAACTAATCATTGATTATTAATCATTAATTGATGAAACTCACCTGTCCGTGTTTGTCCAATTCGTTGTTGGTGAGTTTGACCTTTTCGAAGGACACGACCTGTTTCCTCAGCTGCTCGCCTTTGAACGGTGAGTCCGGATGCACGTAGAGTCGAGCAGGCGCGGGTGGATCTGCTTTGCCTGCGACCAACCACGAGCTTTTGTGATAAGCGTAACGATAGCGCTTGTTGTCCACCGGGACGATATCCATGAGGACGGCGTATTGGGCGTCGTTGCGAAGCCCACTGAACGAGACTCGACAAGTCGGGAACATGCGCCTGCAAACATAAACGACATATGGACCCCTCGTTATTATACAATTTGATAGAAATATTTCATGCGTGCGCGGGGCTAAATTATACCACTTGACGTGAATCGCAATTTGCGAGACTGTAGGTATGCGTAACCTCGAAATTGAATTCGCGATCAACTTCGCGTCGGCTGCCGCAGCTCGCGCCCGACGCCTCGTAAAATTGGTAAATTACAGTTTTAGTCTTGGCCAATCGCATATTTACGGCGCGTATTCAAATTTTCGCGGCATGATTCAACTTTCAACGAGTAAGTAATTTGTATAAACTTTGCATGACTCAAAAGTATCGACCGAACGAGCCCGAACGTAGTTTATAGAAACTCGCGAGAATGAGTTCCAGACGAGCGAGCGAGGCTCGATCGTCTCGCACCTGTGCAGGCTCGTGCAATCCGCGCACCAGCATAGCTGCCAGGCTGATGCAGCAGCAGCAGCAGCGCAGCCAAAACAACACACCCGGACCAGGGACTCCGAAGAGCAGCAGCAGCCTCGTCGACGGTGCTCGCCGCGTCGAGCAGCAGATCTACGAGTTCTCGATACACCCGAAACGACTGAGCAGCGAGGGAGCGTCGCCGATCCAATCCAGGCCCTGCAGTCCAGGTCTCTGCCAGGAGGACCAGCGCTTCATCGAGGGCCTGCAGCGACGGATGCAGCTGAAGAAGCGCCAGAGGGGCTGCTGCGTCGGTGGCGTTTACATTCGCAAGGTCATAGCCCTGCTGGCCTTCTTCTTCCTGCAGGGCCTCTTGTCGACGCTCATGCACAACTCCAGGGAGTACCAGACGTTCTTCGCGACCCAATTGTGCGGTTTCATCGTCATCATGTTCTGGGACTCGGCGGGCAATGGCTTCTTCTGATGTTTTCTCGCGCGACCCGCTCGATATTTTACGATCCGTGTATTACGTCTTGAATATTCCGACTCTTCGCGAACAAATGTATATTATAATATTATCTGTTCACACAGCAGCCATGAATCAACAATTATACGCATCGATCGAGATAAAAGATTAGGCCTTAATTTCATCGTAACCGGCCGCGCGTCGGGCCTCTTTTCGTATCAATCAATTACGTTATTAAAACAGCGAAAAAAATGAGCCACAGGAGAAGTTAAAAAAATACTCGACCCGATTAATTTAACTGATTATTAGTGCAGCGAAGAGCGAACCCCGGCCAGGTGCACACATCCACGCACGCTCCTGGCAGGTTTTTTCTTTCTTTCTCTCTCTTTTTTTTTTTTTTATAATTACAAGTCGGCGTACGAGCCGTTGCTGCTGGGGCGCAAAGAGGCAAATTTGCGAGCTTCATTTTCGACGAAGGCAAATGACGATGACATTAGCCGAGGCTCCTTTTCTGCCAGCCGACGCACACCGCTGATGAAGAGTTCGCGTGTGTGTATACAATGTGGCGGCAGTGCTTGCTCACCCCGCGCCTGTATGGTGGAGCTCGATCGCGCATCATCGTCTGCCTGTCTGTGCGTAAGTGCATTTTTCGAGCCGCTTCGCGAATGTAACGGATCTCGATAACAATGGCGCATGAGACTCTCTTTCAGCAAAGAGCACGATGCGATTGCAACCCTGCATTCACCGTACAACAGCTCTGATAAAAGCGTCTCTCGCGATAATGATGGCTAATATAATCGATGACGTCTTAATTTCTCCGCAGCTATGATCGTGCACTTTTTCCATCGCGAGAAGGCGAGAGGAAAGAAAGAGAGAGAGAGGAGTTGTTTTTTTTTGTTCGTTCATCGTTGGCTATTTTTCGTTCCAGTTACAAGCTATATATAATGTCCAAACGAGGCGTAAAAGCGTTGATGTTTCAATAATAATTTCAACTTCTAATAAAAATGATAATCATAATAATTTTTCTCTGTGTGTTTCTCTCTCTCTCTTTTGAAAAGTGGCTTAAGCTCGCTCGCGGCGCTGCAGAGCTCATTAATTAACGCGCAACAAAATTGATAATGTATGCGCTGCGCCTCGTGTAAAACGTCGAATTCCGACACGTTTTATTCACTGGCATTTACATTTTTATTGGCGCTGGGTAGAAAAAAAAGGCAACAAAAAGAAAGAGAAAATGCCATAAAACTGGAATACACTTTGCTGAACGCGACGAGTAAATAACAACGAACGCAGAGGCAAAGATGATGCTCGCTGCTTCTGCTGCTGGGGGACCAGCGAGCCAAGTAAGAGGCGCGAAACGACCCCCCGTGGATTACATTTTTTTTCGTTGTCATCGTCGGTGCTTCAGCTCACGAGAAAATCACGACGACTGCTCACGGATCTTCGTTTGGATCAATGAAGAAGAAGAAGAAGAAGAAGAAGAAGAGGCAGCTCCGCATTTGGTGGTCGTTTCGGTGAATATTCATGCACAACTATGTGTGCGTATAGGCAAGTATCCTGGCTTTTTGTCGATACACGCAGGCGATTATGGTCCGAGGGACAAATGCGGGATTTTGTTGCGACAGTCTCTGTTGGGCATATAGCACGTGTGCGCTGCGCGAGTGAAAATGCTTAATCTCGTTTTCGCGACGTGTTTCATTCAAAAGCCATTAATCATTGTTGGGCCAAAAGGAGTGAGGCGCAACGCGAGGAGTTAATTATCACACCGTCGGCGCCGTGCGAAATCGCTAATTCTTCCTTTCCGTTTTTCCATATACGTAGCACACATGTAGCGAGAATATTCGCGTCGTGTTATATGGCACATGTATAATGTCATATACGCCATATATTGGAGAATCACGACGATCGCGCGCGACACTGAATATTTTTGTATAAATTCAGGAATCCTTCCAAGAAAAAAAGACGTCGCCTGGCGCCGCAGCTCTATAGCTGGCTCATTTGAATTTTAATGATTCTCGTTTTCTGTTATTGCCCCGGACTCGCTCGCTCGCTCGCTCGTCGCACAGGCAGCAGCAGCAACTCGATGATACGAGAATGCGCGCACACACATATGCAGCAGGACTGCCTGTTGGGTGTTGTAACGCGTCGCTTCTGCTAATTTCTCTAACCTTTCCATTCGACACTTTTTATATGCGACACGAGCTTTTTCTTCGTTTCGTTTGTTCGTCCGGTCCGCGTCGAGCTCTTAGGCGCATTATAATATTTATATATAAATACGTATACTCGCGATCGTTGCAGCGCGCGCGTCCGTGATATTATAAATTTGTCCTAACACGACTGTTGATGGTCTTTATTACCCACACCGAGCGCACGGGGACTGTATTATATACGTATAATATATATGTGCTGCGCAATATAAGCACGCGGCCAGTGCTGAATATTCGATAACAAAACTGTTCCACCTTTAATTTAATGTAACAGTCACGCACACACACACACACACACATACACGCATATATATCCAACTGCAACTGCAGCTGCATTCGCGAGTCTTTCTCGCGAGCCCGTGCTTATATATAGGATTATTAGCATAGTCGTATAAAAATGAAGCGTAATGTGCTGCGCGCTCGTAAATAATATTGCGGACTAGCGAAAAGAACCGCTTCTTCTCTCTCTCTCTCTCTCTTTCTTTAAGTATCTCGTAAAGCGAAGCAAATTTTTTCTTTCGCTTTTTTTTTAATTGTTCTTACTGACGATGTGGTCCCGCTTTACAACGGTCATTTATCAAGGTCGGATGGTAGGCGTAACCCCCTTATTTTTTTTCTTTCTGCACGATACGCATGTAGTACGCATCATGTGCTGTACGCAGTCTCTCGCGTAATTTCCTCGGGTATTATTGAGTCGTCCTTACAATGTGCATCGAACTTAATACATTTTTTTTTCTTGCTTCTTCCTACCTTTACAATTATGATATTTCATTAAGAGTAAGATGCTATCGTCTTTATTATAAATTTCCCAAATATCAATCTTGCTCTTCTCTCTCCCTTTATCCCCTTCTTTCCTTCTCTCTCTCTTTCTTGCTCAGTCCGATCTTAACCCGAGGCGCGCTTAAGAAGGTTAAACCAACAACAATAAAAGCCCTATCAGAGAGATAAGGGACGGCCTTAGACGCAAGTTCGCGTGTTACCAACGTATTAATCATTCCATTCTCGCGCTCGCACGTACATAGCACGTATATATAGCATAAAGAGAGAGAGAGAGCGAGAGAGAATTGCCGAGCGCGCGGAAATTCGTAAGTCAACGCTTTACGCGCGTGTTTGTATACAGTTTGGCGCGTTCGCACTCACCTGCCGGTCTTGGTGATGATCATCTCCGTTCCCAGGTCGTTGAACTTATCCCACAGGTCTTTGGTTTCCAGATGACACTGGACCTCGCGCAGCTCCTCCGAGTTGCAGAGCGGCGCCGCCGGTACTTTGCGCTTTTTGCTCTTCACTCTGCTCTGTTTGTTGCTAGCCTTGCTCGACTGATGCTGCTGTTGCTGCTGCTGCTGCTGCTGGGGTTGCTGCTGATCGGCCTCGTCTTCGTCGATGTCGTCCGTGGCTCGGCGCTTGAGGGGATTCGGCGGCTCGTCGACGCTGCTGCACTCCTCGACGTCGATGTCGATCTCGTCCTCGTCCTCGTCGACGGCGGAGGACTTGTCGGTGCCTAGACTCTCGGCGTCGTGGCCATTGCTGCAGCTGCGGTCGTCGCGGTCGCTCTCCTCCTCGATTATCGATTCGTCGTTGCTCGTCGTTGGCGTCGTTGTCGTCGTTGCCACCACGGTCGCTGTGGCCATTACGTTGACGGGTGACGTGCGCGAACCTGCTAGAGAGACACACACAAGCGAATATCGATTTTTAGTACGGCAATATTCTCCGGCTGCCCAATGCTGTTTTACAGGGAAAAAAAGCGTTGAAATGTTTATATGTTGCGATTGCAAAAATCTCCTCGGTATATTACGTGCCAGAGAGTCCAGTAGAAGCTGGACTAGTATTCTCATAAAATAATTGCTTAGGCGCGTGCACTCGATGACAGTTTAAATATGGCTTTATGTATATGTACGCTTATACGCGTGAGATAGCCAAGCTCGAGGTATGCTAATCAATGACTTTACGGATTGTATTGCAGAAAACTTGCTGCTGCTGCTGCTGCCATTGGCTCCGAGAGACTTAATCACATTTGATTAATAGACTGGTAAAACTTGAAAATTCAATACGATATTGCAAATTTATGTCCGATCACTCGTTTAATATCTATATGAATCGAATGATATTCGCATTAAACAGAGAGAAAGAAGAAAAAAAGAAGAAAAATTAAAAAGAATAATAAGTATGTACACACACGATTAGATTAGCTGCTATTGCGGCTGCTGCTAGTCTTTTGCAAAATATATATAAAATGAGCGTTCTTATCTCAACGCTTTTCTACATAGAAATCCTCCGGCGGCGGCGTCGCTATATTATACCTTCATAACGCCGTATATAAACATAAACATGCATATATATGGGCATTAATGTATAGGTGTACAACATAGCAATTAGCATATTAATCCATTAAAAGAACTTAGCGCGAGTTGCGAACACGCGCGATGGGAATCTGAGCGTATAGAGTGTGTGTGTGTGTGTGTATAAATGAGCCGCGCGCGAGTATCAAGCGAAAAAAGAGGGAAAGCTCGTGTGTATTATTATCGATAAAATGTGCGAGAGAGAAAATTTGTACATTGCACGATTTCAGCGGTTTTGCATAATCCTCTATTTTATTCATAATTCTCCAGGTGTATAATAGTCACCGAGGTCCTGCGTGGATAGCAAAGAGCCCTTGATAATAAGTTATATTTTACGAGAGAAAGAAAAAAAATTACTCGAGCTGGGATGAACAATGTTAATGATGAGTTTGGTACGTTACGTTGTCAGCGAGATTCTCTCTCTTTCTCTCTCTGGCTCAGGTTGTGCAGCTACTGTCAGTGCAATAAACATATCGCTCGCGTCGCTCACTCATTCTACACGTACGTGCCTGGCGTTATTTACGATACGCGTTCAAGTTTCTTCCTTCGATTTTTATTTCCAATTTGATTGTTTTATTACAAATTGAGTTGGCGAGCTCACAGGTGTAAATGGTAGATTGAAGAAAAAAAAATTAGCCAAGCCGTATATTGATTTTTAACGGAATTATGTTGTACTCGCAGAGAGAGTAGTTCGCGCGCTGACGTCTATATTCGTCATCGACCGAGGAGTCGAGACGAAAAAAATAATAACGATAAATTTTCTTTAAAAACACTCTTTCACCGGAGGAATTCGAGCACTGTCACTGGTAAAAAAATTATGCGCGCGCATTTCTACGCGCGAGACGTGTCGCATAAATACTTGAACCGTGTCTGTTAGCTACGGACGAAAATAAATTTTGCACTTGTCGTAGACTTTTCAACGATATCCGCGTATTCGTCTGTATGCGTGCGTGTATTGCGCAATTTTTCAATTATCAACCAAAAAAGTTTAATTATTCGATCGAGTTTCAATCATTTTGCAGACCCCCTGAAATAGTATATTACTGCCCTAGACCGCGAAAAACAGAAAAGTCCCAGAGTACGTGTAAATAGTGGCCGAGGCTGATGACCACGTGCTCTGGGGCTTTCTTTTTTCGCGACATAGGCCTGTATACTATTTTTCATGAAGAGTGGCCCGAAAATCGCTCTTTCCGCTTTGCGCAGCGGTAGGGAAGTAGTCACTTTTGGGCCGCTGGTATGAAAAATAAATTTGAAGGTACCCATGTCTCTCACATTTTCATTAAATAGTTAAAATTTTACACATTAAAAAAATGAAAAGCATTTCGTTATATGAAGAAAAGTTATACGTTTTGACTTGTATCATTTATTGGTTTTAAATTCATGCTGTCCCTTTTTTCTTCAAAATCGTAGACCATTATGTTTACATTAACTATTTGATCTCCAACAAACAATGATAATAATATACTTTGTATTGCTTACTCATCCCTTCCATATTTAACTTGAAATCAAATCATCTGCCTAATATTGACTTCGTGGTCCAAATTTTCAAGGCATGGTCATCAGTCATTATTGAACCGTCACCATGAAAGCATTTCTAATGGGTCCAAGCTCTAGCTGTTTTTCATCAAATGGTAAATCTCGGGAACAAGATCTGGAGTTCTTAATTGAAGGTGGCGACTCCGTGAGTGTTGAAATTTTTGTTAGTTTTTCATCATCTTTTTAGTTAAAAGTCTAATAATCATGAATAATTGACATTGTGCAGGGTTTTGCCTCTCTAAGCTCGTACCAATCGAGCAAAATATCGGCACTATGGGACAAGATTTGCACTACCATCAGACGTCTACCCCATTGGATGATGTACGTCGCATTTATCGCTATAATGGCTCTCTTTATCTTTATTGGACCCATTATACGTGGAATTAGTGGCACGGCGGAGACCAAAAAGATGGTTGGCTAAATCTGGCTGAAAAATGCAATAAGTAGCCGATGGTAAAAGGCTATATCTCGGACGAAGACACGATGATATTAGCTGTTCAATAATAACATCGAACATAACGTGTGTGTACCACCATATACACACGTCTACCTCTATTGCCTATTCTTTCACTTATCTCGCTTTTACTTACAGTTACGCGTGTGTATTGTCACATACACATTTACTCAAATTGATTGACAATTTTTTATATAACCCAATTGTGTCTGAATTCTGAAATGTATAGCTACATAGCCATCCATGTAAAACTCAATGAATAAATCTTATCCGTTCATTGAATAAAATTGTTTTGTTTCGATTTACTTTATTTATTACACCTTATAATAACATTAAACAAAATTAGTTAATATGTACTTCACAATTAATTTGCTATTGAGTTAATCAATATATTGACTAATTCAAATTAAATTAGAAAATATCTACGTTTTAATCAACAAGAGAAATTAAAAATTCAACGGTTTATCTAAATTAACTAATAATTCTAACAAATTTGTCATTGTAACAAAAATAAAAATATCTTCGACTGATTTCAAAATAAATATTTACAAATTGACGGGTTAATTTAACGTAGACACTATGAAAAACACAAATACCACAAATATTAAAAACAGTTCAAACTTCAGAGGGGATTGTACAAGCTATTGATTTCAAGTATAGGCCCAATTAAATTGCTTATTTGTCCACGAGGTTTATCTCGTACGTATGCTATAATTAAGATAGTTGCTCCCTTGGAAACTGTCTTAGCTGTTAATATATTCAAATGAGCAAATGTCAACAATATACAAAAAGACCCCTCTCTGATGTTGTCATGAAAATTGTCTGCGGCTACTGGTCCTTCAATTCATCGCACGAAGCCGCGGTAACTAGTTTTCGGCGTAACGCGGCTATAATTTTTAACTGTTGTAGCTTATAAACTATAACTCCATCATGATAAAAAAACTTCGTGCGTTGAAATCCAAGAAGAAGAAGAAGACAAAAGAAGCGTCGAGCACGGCCAAGGAGAAAGTTGATAAAGACAGCGTTAAAACTAAATCCGGCAAAGGTTCAAAATCCACTGACACAAGTAATGCTGAAGCAAGCAATACTTGCACTGTGGGCTCGGAATATGAGTGGGCAACCGTCAAGGTACCAAATTCTCCAACGGTGATTCCTGATACTAATCCGGACAGCATAGATCAAGCAGCAGGTAGTTCGAATTTGCTGCCTACGAGTGGGTACCCGTCAGTATCTACCTCAAACCCCAGTCATCCAAAGCTGAGCTTGCAGCAGTGGATGCGTGAACGAGACAATCAAATGCCTTTGTCCGTGGAAGATTTGCCCGTGATAGCGAGGAGGAGAAGAAGAAGAAGCAGAAGCATACGGAATCGAGTCAAACGGAACAGAACTCCCCTTCCTTGCTTTAAAAATTCTAATATCCCTAAAAGTACATATGCTGAAACACAACGAAAAATCAAGGCTATGACTCAACGATCCGGTCTCACTATTCTAAAACCATCTAAAAAAGTTCGGCCGTTAAAAAAAATTTCTGAAAAATCGAATTCACCTATGAAGGTAATAAAATATACTCATTCATATTCAGCCAAGAAGACTCCAAAAGAGACTCCAAAAGAGACTCCAAAGAAGACTCCAAAAAAGACTCCAAAGACGACTCCAAAGGATTCTTCAATTCCTTTAGGAGGTAGTCCTGAACATAAGAAAGATTCCATTGAAGGGAATTTAGGTTCCGCTGAAGCTTCTGGTTCCTCTCCAAAACTGTGTTCCACTCAAGTCTTGGGTTCTCCTGCAATTGGGTCAAACACTACAAATTTGCATATAGCCATAGCTCCATCATCTACTGAAACTGTGAATTCTGATCATTCCTCCAAAGCTTCCAAAGAAGAAATTGTAGAGTATGATGAGAATCCGGACGCTTCCTCGACTCCAACAGAGCTTCTATTGGACGAGGGGAGATCCTCTTCAGTTTACTATTTACCAGCAACAGCCGTTGACATACCAGAAGAAGATGTAAGTGTTATTCATCTATTATTTTTTTTCTATTCATAATTTTCCATTAATAACTCATTTGCAGCCCGATGAGATAACATTTTTCACTTCAAGAGCATCCCGACACCGAATACAAAGGAGGGAGCAATTGATGAATAATAAGCAAAAGCGAACTTCCATCATAATAGCTATTATTTTACTGGCCGTGTTTTTTATATGTCTGAGTGTGCCTTTTATAATCAATCAATTATGATGAATGCAGGAGAAATGAAATTGCTATCGAAAAATCAATATTTTATGCTTTGAAACCGATGGGATGATTTTTAATTGTATTAATTTTTAAAATATATACACTTGTCGAAATATATGTATATAATAATATACATATTATTAATATGGAAAATATGTCCAAAAAATTATGTACTAAATATTTGTATAAATAATGAAAATTTACCAAATAAATGTATTTTGTTACTCCTATCGACAAGTTCATTATATTTTGTTCAAATCAATATTTTCAAACTATAGTGAAGTCTCTATAACATTCAAAGAATCAGTTTTATTTTCGTTATTATAAGCTATTATTTAATTACGAAGTAACTTTCAAATATTAGAAAATACCCCTTCTTCAAATTGAGTTAAACAATTTTATTCGTATTCCAGACATACTGATTTAATCATAAAAATCCTGACAGTCACTTCTTAGAGTTCTCTCGTTGTAGATATAGTAACGGTTAAGCATACAAGCAACAGTTCAACAATGAGTGACCAACCGAAAATTGTTTTTCGTGGGGTTTCAAAAAATACTTTAGTAAAGGCTAGAAAAGTATCATTATGCAGAAAATCCACATCTCCTTCGAATGACGCTCGAAAATTGACAAGCCAAGCTCAGACGACGGCAGAAAAAATAGAAAAAGAAGATCCCCGTACCGATGCCACTTTAGATCCAGAACAAGAGCTAGCTGACTTCAAAGGAAAGTTAGAAATGCGCAGAATTATACAATTAAAGCATTTAATTTTAGCTCTTGCTATTCTGTTTGTGGGACTACTTTTAATAATATCAGCTTACATTATTTTTTAAACTTTTTGCTTCAAGTTGGTCATCAAAAAGTTGGTGATGTCAAAATTAAGTTTTTTTGCACTTGCGTAGATCCAATTTTTTTCTTCCAAATAATGAAAAAGTGTATTTATCTTTTTGTTCGTGTACATGTACTCGTACACTAGTATATTGATATAAAATCATTGTAATATTATTATATGAATATAAAAGTATCATGAGGTATTAATCTAGTCAAGATGTAAAAGCACACATACTAATACTCTGATATTTTTATTGACTTTGTTCTGGTCGAATAAATGAAAACATGTCGCTTCGATGACTGACTTATAAATCGAATAACTTTTTTATGTATTCTATGCCTACATTTATCAATATATCATATTATTTTTCAATATAATCATATTATTGCCTCTATTTTTAAGAAAAATTTACGATCTGTTTGGATGGACAAAAATACTACTTGCATATTTACCGAGCAAAAACACTTCGCGTAAAATCTGCAAGCCATTTGTCGTATAGTTTGGTGCACGTGTTTCACTCTAGTTATCGTCGTTAACTTTTTAAAAATAATGCACGCGCAGCGCAAAATTTTCCATACAGTAACGTAAAATCTATCGACTGAAACCAGAGAACAAATCATAATATAATAATATTTTTAAATATCCCCGCTTGTCATTATCAAAATGTAGAGAAAATTGTACAAAAACACTCGGTATGGACTTTAACGTTAGCAGTTGAAGTTCATAAACGTTACGTATGTAGGTCAAGTAATGAGGTTCAATCCGTTTGGTTAGAAGTTTTCGAGGAGGACCCCGAAAAAGTTTAGAGTCAACATTCCGAAGACACCAAAAAGAAATGGATTCTGTAAGATCTTAACAATAGTCTTGGTCTGCTTCGCAGGTGTTTTAAGCGTATGGTGTATCAACTATACCATCAGAATGTATTAAAACTCGAAGGGCCGCGAGATAAATCACACAAGAGAATTCCCGTAATGGCGCTAATTTTCATTTAAAAATTGTATTTGACTACGATACGTTAAGAATGATCTATATTTAAAACTGATGTCTACTATATACGTTTACTGTCATATACGTATAAACTCATTGGTATTCAATGCACGATCCTTAGGATAAACTAAGCAATGGCATGGTGCAGAAAGTGACAATTTTTCAAACAGCAATCGTGTATTTTGATTCGATATAGCGTGACAGAAAACATTACTTTTACCATGAACATGCTTCGAGATTTTTACTTATTGTTATATCTCAATCATTTCGAATAATAAGTTCTGTGGAAAAAGAAATGTAATGCAAAAATTCTTATAAAAGTGACAAAACTCATACCTATATATATCTTTAAATATAGGCAAATGACTCTGAGTTGTCGCGACAAAGGCAATTTGATAGGACAAAAAAATTAAGTTTCGAAGTTTAAACAAAAATGAAAACACCTTCATTCAAAGATATCGATAACGGCTACGATTAGTCGTCACAGATAAGAAATGAAAAGTAAGTCGATATCTTTATATAATAACATTTCACATGCAGGCTTCTTATTTCTGCCCGAACTGGAGAAACTCGAAATCACAATAAGAAACTGCTGCTGCTGCTTTGGAGCCAACGAAAAATGCCTCGTCTCGTTGAGGGTGTTATTAATCGAGGCGCTTATAAAGGTACACATGTATAGGTGCAAAAACCAGTTCTCTCTCTCTCTCAGCAGGCTTGGGTATATGCACACAGTCAGACACGGCACACATGGGTATACGACTATATAACGCATCGTTGTGCAAGGATTAGCCGCGGTAGCCGTGTATCCTCTGCTGCAGCCGCGCGAACAAATCATAAATTAGTGCTTATATATTGAAAATATACCTGTCGCTCGTGGTATTATTACTGAGAAATCGTTGAAACTGCGAGTTAATTAATCGCCCCAATACAGCGACTACAAGGAGAGAAAAATGAAATTTAAACATAGCTCGCTGAGCCACCCGAGACGTACGTACGTACTTAACCCGATGAAAACTCAACTGTCGTTGATAGAGCGAGCAAAAAGACGCTTGCGTCAGAAAATATAATATGAACGAAAAAATGTTGCATAAGTGTTTAATCTATTGAAAGAAAGAGAGAGAAAAGAAATGTTCGTGTGTACAGCTTTCACGTTGCGACGAAAAGTCTATAATCTACGACATACGTTGCAGCAAGCGCAGCGAGCCATTTGAATTTCACCCGACCAGTCTCTTGGCGAGCGGACTGTATTGTTAGATACTTCATGTGCTGCAGTGTCTAACAATTTTATTTTTTATTGTAAATTCGACGTTGAAACAATGCCAATGACTCGAAAGTTTTTCGAAACGCGTAATATCGATAACTGCTGATATATAAGTTTATGTTGACTCAGTAAAGGCAAATAAGACCAATTTTTCTCATTTCATTCCAATTTGCTTTTGATGCTCGCTCGCTACGATGTTTAACAATAATAAAGCTAAAAAAACAGTCGATAGCACGTACACACTTTTTCGTTCTTTGGAATGAAATACTCTGCTACCTTGTGCACGGAGAAATTTACACAAGACCTATTACAACGAGGATATCAACGCCAAAATTTCGCACGATAAGGTACGTCAAGACTATAAACGCGCCTTACACGTAACGGGCGCGCGCACGAAGGGCCGAAATCAAGCAATCATTTTAAGTTACACGCGCAGTTCGTAGACGGGGAGAGGATCGAGGTATATTACAGCGGGCCGGGAAACGTCTCAATTGCTCGAAAATAGGAAACGATCACTGCCGCCGCCACTGCTGTATTATATGCGCGTATTTACGTATACGTGACTGCGGACGAGTCGATAAGCGGAAATCGTTTTGGCCTAGCCATTCGTCGGGGCTATACTGCACGTCCTATACGCCAAGTTATTAGAAGCGCATTTTAAATTGCATTTCGATTCGTTGCTATACTTCGTTGCATATGGTAGGAAGGCACATATAGCGCGAGATTCGAGCTAAAGCCGCTAAATTTAAAGCTATTGTTCGAATCGTAAACTCGTCCGAGGGAGTACGTGTGCGCGACTCTGCGAGCTCTTTAAATATGCGATGATCGGCCGATATTCCACGCGAATTTCCAACGAATTAAAGTAAATCGGGCCGCTTTACGCGTGCGTGCCTCGTAAATCACGTCCTGATAAACTCATCGTGCGCATATTATACTTCTATATATAGGGGAGATTACGATATCCGTGGTCCCGCGAGTTTATGCAAAATTTCGACCCAGCTCGACGTAACTAAGTATCTAAACGTGAAAAAAGTCGACTACAAGTGTTGTCGACTCAACTCGTGACCTGTGTGATGCAGAAAACACAACTTATAAGCAGGTAATGTGGTCAGCACAAAGGGTGTATTGGATGCTCCCCGAGTGAGTGCGGTCGTCGGGTAGGTGCCGGCGTGTGGAGCGAGGTCAGGGCGAGGAGCGGGTGCAGGGGCGCAGCCCCTGCTGGGGGAGCAGGGGGCGAAGCCCCCGCTGGGGGGTTGGGGGGGCGAAGCCCCCCCACTAAAAAAAACCACACACATATTTAAAAAAAATAAAAAAATAAAAAATTCAGAACTTTTTTTTTAATTTCATTGATTTATTCATTATAGAACTACGTGACAGAATTAAACTCACATCTTCCAGAAACTTAATCGCGACTTCATTAGTAGCTACTAACTTTTCAAATGAGTAAAAAATGGAAAATTTTTTTTCAATTTAGTATATAACAAAGGATTGTGCACTCATTTTTTCATAAACTAATTACCCGTCAACTATATCAAAAAGCACTGACAAAAAGCTATACAATTTACTGCCAGCTAAAAGTTGTTTAACGGACAAACAATGATCGTTCAAACGCATCGTGTTCGAAATTCAATAATTGAAAATTATCGTAGATGTTAAAAAATACAATTATAGATAAAAACTTAAGGAATTTTGATCAGAAAAAAGATACAGATAAGGGAAATATACTAAATTAGGCATAAATCCTTTTTTTTTACTCTAACTTTATTGTTATATAAATTGAAAATTTTCACATTACAATGAATGCAAAAAGTATTTAAACACTCCAAACGATCGAGATTGAGCGCCATCCATCGGAATTTTGCATAAAATCGCGGGACCACGGATATCGTAATCGTGCCTATATATAAAATCTGCATCGAGCCGGTTAAAATAAGTCGTTACAATGTAATCTTCGTAGGCGCGCGCGCGTCGTTGAATCGCTTCGATTTACCACACGCACTCGGGTGTTTGGCTAAAAAGTCGCGCGACTCGCACTCGAGGGGGTATGCAAAACAAATAGCGCGCCCGAGGAATTCCGTATAGTCATGCGTTTCAGCAAATGCGGAACCGTCGGAAAAATACGAATAGTACTCGCGCTTGTTAACGAACACAGTCGCCACCGAGCGGACATATAGTCTACTGAGCAGCGCACGGGCCCGAGCGTACTAATAAACTGCTTTAAAAATTGTTTTCACTATTAAATGCCAGAATTATGGCCTTTCCAAGCCATTGTTTTCCTCGAAGCATAAAGTTTCTAAAGCGTACGTTAATGACTTGTTCAGCGTCGTCGTATCTACTATATATATATAAGAGACCACTGAAAAGCCGGAGATTGAGTTTTGCGCAATTATTTTCCCAATATTTCAGTAGCAATATAATATAAGGAAAGTTTCGCGGTCGTCCGGACATGGAATGCTTCCAATGTAAACAGAACAAGTGACAGATAGTCGTGGCGCGACTTGTTGTTATCATCGCGTGAAACGACAACATAAAAGCCAGGCGATTTCAATATTGTCTTCTCGAGTACCATACAAAATTAAGGTATACAAACCGCAATTACGGAAATGGAAAATTGAATGGCATCGATCGAGTCGCAATACAATAAAAATGAAGCACTGCGCAAGATAATTCCTCGACTCGGCGAAATCCCAGCAGCTCCAGATTTTAGCAGCACACGACGACTATGACGACGGCTACGACAACAAGTGTACATCATATGGTGTGAGGCCTAGCTCATTTGCAGTTTCCGAATCCCATATATATGAGTATTATATATGTTGTCGAGCATAAGGCATATACATATGAATGTATGCGATATTATACAGACGTTAGTGTGCGTGTGTGTATAATACGAGCTCGGGCTGCCGGCGGCGAGGACGAAGACGAAGACTCGACGAGAAGACGCGGCGCCGACCACCCAAGAATATACCCTGTCACCAAGCTACAGCAGCCGGAGTAGCAGCCGCGAGACATCTTTTACCTTCGTGTCTTGTAGTGTAGCGCATATTGTACGCGCCGCAATTTGTTACGTGCAGCAGCTTAATTTTTTCCCCCTCTCCTCTCGATGTCTCTTTTTCCTTCGATCTCGCAGATATATATACCGCAATTGTACGAGCGAGTGCAGATTATTTTGACAGTCTATTCGAACGTCTATATAAAAGTATAGCTCGAATAGTTTAGGCCACATGCGTGGGCGCATAAAAAGCTGCTCCAACTTGGCTGTACATAGGGTCGGGGTTACAATATAGACTGTGGAACACAGCACGCGGGGCGTCGACTATGCGATCGTCTTCCGAGCTCTCTATTAAGTGACGGATCATCATTTGGTCGATGATATTTATTACAGCGTTGGGATATCGTCCGGTGGGAAACGACGCGTTTGTCATCAATGGACGCGTCGCGTCGTTAACGTTTCGGAGCTTTTGTCTTCTTCTTTTTTTGCGTACGCGCGCGAAATGGATACATGATATTAAATGCGTGGGGCAGTGCTCGATATTTACGAGCGAGATTTCAGGAAGCTCTCGTTATATTATGTTCGACTCGTGATGATTTTCTTTTGTGCTCGGGGCCTGCTGCTCCGTAGCTTAGGTGTTGATTCCATAATGGACCGTCGCGCGGACGCACCGCAAGAAAAATATAAGAAGGCGTTCTTTTACCTTACAAATTCATCGACTTGATTTTCGGAAAACATTTGCAATTTTCGACGATTCCGATATGCCGGCCATGAAATTCGTTAAAATTCGCTTGCGATACAGCTGATTTACCGTTCCGTCGGACGTCGCTGCGATTTGCACTGACTTTCGAAACAAAGCATTTTCATTTGCATTTTAATATTTATTCATTTTTGCATTAATTTTTTAATTTAAAGATATCGAAGGAGTGATCATAATGAAATTCATTTGTTATTTTTTAAATTTTTTGTTAAATTTATTTAAATGTTGTAGACAAATTTATACGTTATAATGAATTCTTTTACAGATGCAGATTTTATAAAAAAAACACTCGGTGAAATACCAGCGCGTACAATGTACATAAATGATACAATTTTTGCCTTTTACTGCGAGGCACATTTGTAATAATGACAAATTATCCGTCGATAGAATGAATTCTGTCGAGCTGGCTCGGTATCACTCCCACAACGCGTTGTGCAGTCGATACTGCGCGAGCCGATCGAATGCCTCGACTCGATTCGCTTCTTTTGCAGCTATATAAAAGGGGTAAGCGGGAATTCCGATCAACGCCGCGTATCATAACTCATCGAGCCGTCAATTGGCGTGCGTATGCACATATTACTATTATAAATGGGCGCTCGGCTAGGAGCATTCGTAGGATGCATAATCGATGTTCGCGACGCGCGCCCTACAGCAAGTTCACTCGAACTCATAATAAGCCAAATGCTTGTACTTACGATGCTCGAAATTGAGTGGTCCGCTCGGTGCGTAGGGTAGCTTGCTCGGGCACTCGAGTACCGCCGCTGGACTGATGTTGCGGATAATGGGCCCGTTGGCGTAATTTTGTACGAACGCGGGGCCTCGCGGGGCCATTATAGCTGCGATGCTGAAGTCCGTCGCCTTCGTGCGCTCACCTTTCGTCGTCGGCATCGCAATTGTTTCTTTCGCGCGCACTGATCAACAATACGACGCCAACAAAAACAAAAGGTCAAAGAACTAATTGGCAAAACTTTTATACTAATGTTCTATACAGTTCGAAGCAGTTTGTGGTACTTTCACTGGGAGGGTGTGGACGGTGTGTATAGATATACGATGGCAAACTCGTAAAACACTCGCGCACAGTAGATTAGCTTTTTACGTAACTGCTGCAACTGTGGCTACGGCCTGGCCAACAACTCGCGTACACACTCGGCATTGGTGGCTCGCGACAAAAACACTGCCGGCTCCAAAAAAGCACCAGTCAACTGAATAAAATTGCACACCACAATGGGCTATACGTGTACTCGATTATTAGTGCGAATATTCGATATCTTCGCTCTCGCCTCTTTTTGTGCGGCTGTCCTGGATTAAAAATTCAACACCTCTAGTTAATGCACTTTTATCTACAGTCAAGCTGTAACGATGCACAGAAGCGGCACAACTCGAAATGTTTTTTTTTTTCCTCTCGATCGATCTCGCTCGAGGCAGCGAAAATACGACGTTCTACGAACGAACGAACGTCTGTGCCACTACACAACACGATGCTGACTGTTCTCGGCTTGCAGCTACTTTACAGCGGTCTCTCATCCTCCCACGAAGAGCAAATCCCCTCCTCTTCGACAGTGGCGATTGCGCGCGCACACACGAGGTACAAGAACGGAACTCTGCGTTCGAGAGAGTCAACCATAGCCGTGTGGACGCGTGGAGAAGAGAAGGAGGCAGGGAGAGAGAGAGAGACGAGCGATCAAGGAAAAGGCGGAGTCATCGACGCGCCCGGTCTCTCGGATGCCATGTCGAGCGACTGCAGCGGTAGCCGAGCCACGCCCACTTGCCAGAGCTCCGGCATAAGCTTATCATCGACGCCGCGCTGTACTCGTACGCGGAGAGGCGGTAATGTCAAAGCGAAGAAGGGTAACCATTGTCTCTCGCTCTCAGCTGCTCTACACTGCTAAACTCCGCACTGACGCACACACGAGCACACGGACATATTTGCAGGCCATATAGAGCGGAGCGCGCTGAAAGAGATCGATCGTGCGAGCTAGAGGGTTGAAAGCCAGACGGAGGGGTGCACACGGCCGGATATAGCTCGAAGAGCAACGATAAAAAGAAGCTTTCTTGTTATAGCCAGCATGTGCACCTCTGTATACACCTATAGCATACACACGGCAAAGTGGAAGTGGTCGTCTCCCGATATATAGGGAGGGAGGTTACTGCCAGCCTCGTCGCTTATGCACGACCATCGGCTTCTGCTCTCGTCGTCGTGTGGCGTCGTCGTGTGTCGAGGAGGCGACGCGTTGCGCTGCAAAAAATAAAAACGGCCGAGCACGCCCGAAGAAAAATGGATGCGACGAGATAAACGACGAGTAATGGATTTTTGCAGTCTATCCTGCGCGCGCATAAGTTACAAATTGCCTCCCGAACTCTGTGCATTTATGCCCAAGCTTGTCTTTGTGACTTTTCCGCGCGGTCAAACTGAGAAAATTACGACGAGTCGATTTTCCTGCGTGACTTCTCGTATTCCACGGTATTTTTATGCATACCGTTGCCGGTTGAAAAGACGGAGTCTGCGATATACTCAGTGGCAGGAGTTGGAATGTACACGAGCTTATGAGAGCAAAGTGGAGAAGTTGGGGCTCTCTCCGAGCTCGACGTGCTGAGATAGTGGCCGCAGGCGTTGATAAAACTACCCGCCCACTGGCAGTATATCTGCAGCTAGCTACCTGCGGTGCAGCGTACTTTGGCCGCGTTGAACGACGAATGCGTCGGGCAAAAGTAACCAATGGACGCATCACTTTGAAATGATAAGGCCTTACAACTTTTGCGCTTTTTTTCTCTTTTATACTTTTATACTGTATGTATAAGAGACTTTTCAAATGAGTTGGGTTTATTTCCTTCTTTCAAATCAAACAACGAGATGGTAATCATTAAAACTTTCATTCATTAAAATTACGTACATCAAGATTGAAAGTAATCAGTAAATAAGATGAGAACTGGCTTATATGAATATGAATTTTATCAATCATGACTCATTACATTATTGGAGGCATAATTGACGCGTTGAACCGCGTGATCTTGATATTCGATGCTGTATATGATAGCATCATATTGAATATTTTATCACTTATATTAGTTTGACCAAAAATTAATATAGCCATGATCGAAGTCAGTCGAAGTTTATATTACCGAGCGTCTGTATCTCTCAAGTTTACGTTCATGAGAAACTTTACACAGCGAAAGTTTGAGGGAGTATCAAGACGAAGCGGCAGACGCGTGGATACTCGATAAACTTGAAACGTTAATTCTCGTAAATGGACTCTGATTTTGTGTAAAATTGTTCTGTGTGGACTCATTGGAAGCACTAAACTATATTGATTCGAAAAAGATCGTTTGCTTAGCTGCGTACTCTTGGTAATAAAAAAAGAAAAGGCAAATAGAAGCACCAATGCAGCCTGCAAAAGTCAGATGCGATTCTCTTTGGAGTACAAAACGCAGAACACAAGTGCCAAACCTTTCACTTACTCTCTCGCGTTCGTCTATGAGAATTATACGATGCTTTAATAAGCAGCGTTTAGAGCGAGACATTCGATATATTTAATGTACTGTTGTGTATGCGCGGCCAAGCGCGTGTGTGGGAGTACATGTGCCTGGTATCCATCTGGTATGTGCGGCCGGCGCTTATATTGTATGCGAGCCAATTAGACATATCAAAAGCAGGCGCTGAGTGTCGCACAGGCCTCGCTCAGGCAGCTCTATTATATGCTTGCTACATGGAAAATCTGTATCCCGCGACACTTTAATTGTTCAAATAATTAAGGATTGCGTAATTAAAGCGTCATTAAGCTCATCTATATTTGTACACAAACGCTTTGAAGAAAAGGCGTGAAACGACTCGGAAATATATATAATGTACGATCTGTACATTTATATAGATATGCTCTGCGCAGCACATCTGCCTTTTATACATTTAAACCGCACCGGATGGCCGCGCACGCGTGGAAAACAGAAGTCGACAACGAAATGATCCGCCGTCGCTGCTGCTACTGCCGATGTGTAGTTGCTTCGTTCGAGCTTTGACTTATCCAGGCACACACATACACGCGTTATACATGGACCACTCGAGTGGAGCAGGTTCAGGTATACTCAAAGACATGTGTGTGTGTGTGTGTGTGTATGTACGAGTGGGTCTGTGAGTGCACGTATATCAACGCAGTTGCGACCCATAATTCATAGTAAAAGGCATCGGATACGACGCTACGGAATGGTGTGTGGTGGCTATTGTGTGGCTACGAAAATGTCGTCGTTGCTCGAGTCGTATATGGGGCGCGACATATACTATACCGGGCTATACATACACATCGCACTGCGGGATTCCTGAGCACTGGACAGGAACGAAAAAGACTCGTAGAAATAATCGAGTCAATTGTCCTGCTGTAATATTGCGACTCGTCCACGACAATCGCACACCAGATGATCCATCGAGCTCTGCTGCTCCGCCAGAAACTTTTGCAAATCATAAACGATAACGAGCGCATAAATAGTCAATCCATCTCGTCTTAAGGATTTATAAAGAAAAAAAAATATTCGTGTCATATAGGTGGATTTTGAGACGCGTGAAAATGATTACAATTACAAAGAGATTATGAGGATTAAAAATTGGCCTGCGCACGACATATTTCATCGTGAAAAAATCATGAGCCACACGTCAGCTCTTGAGATGTATTCAAATCAACGCAGGTGGCATTTCATAATGTGACGGAATATTTCAAAATATCAATCCTATGATGGCTAAATTATTTTGAAAGGATACAGAAAAAAAACCCTCCACAAGTTTATATATTTTTCACCTCTTTCGCGCAGACGAGAACACCCATACGGCCGAAAACGTATAAATATATAAGCTTCATAAATAAAAAAATCATATTCTCATATGCGGAATCAATAACAGGCCTAAAATTCAAGGAAAGTCAAGGAGTGCTCGTCTTCCTCTCTCGCGGCACGGAGTGGCAATTTAAATGAGCTATCATCAATCTTTGGATAAGCAAAAAATTACTTGCAGCGCGTACTAATACAATTATTATAGCCGCGACCTTTCGCTCTTAATTACAACGGTACAATATGATTGATTTCACGAAATTCATTGGCTGAAATCTACGCGACAATAATAACAGCATGTACTGTCACTCGCGTATACAGCGATATAAGCAGATTTCGAAGCGTTTTAGGATCTAATGTCACGAAGATCCCCTCGATATCGATGACGCATAAAGGGATCGATTTTTCGCATTATGTTTCGCGTATAAATGTGTCAAAAAGCTATTATGTAGGCTAGGCAACAAAAAGGACTCGACCGCAGTGTGTAACACCACAAACATAGGTATATAGGTACGCAGCAGCACACCGAGTTGTGGCATGTGGCTGATATTTTCCATTTTTCGATCGATCAACTTCTGTCTCCGAGCTGAGCGTTGTTTTCTCTCTCCCTCTCTCTGCGTGAAGTTGTGCTGCAGCAGCGACGATCATCTCCGAACGCGCGTGCACATGCGTGCCGGTAGAGTCTGGGGCACACACGATTATGTCGCGGAGGTCTCTCGTCGAAAAGATTTACGATTTAAATGGCCCCGAGGGCACATTGTCGAGATCGCCTCTTTATTTTCCTAATTTCTTTCGTAGGCGCGTCACAATGTATTGCGGAGCGAGTCGCGTGGATGGTCCGCATAGTCGAGCTCAACGACAGGAGGTCCTGCAGGAGGCTGGCATATTCCGCGAATTTCGACCTCCACAGTACTCGCAGCGAGTACAGCACGCATCGTTGCAACATCATGCTGAGTCTCGAGATATTATTTTATACCTATGGAATAGATTTAATAATGGATCGATTGAATCGTGCGCACGCTCGGGGATGGTCGACTTTCGCCTCTCTTTCTCTCTCGAGGGTTTTGTTAGCACTCGTCGCTCCATTTAGGCCCATTAGACGTAGGCGCGCGTCTTTTTCGGCTGTATGACTTTGGGCGCGTGGGCTGCTGCAGCCGATCGTCTTGCGCACTTTTTTTATTTTATTATATGTATTATATTACGCGAAAGAGAGAAAATCGTCGCGCGTGTGCGGTGAAACCTCCCGGCGAGTGGTCAGCTGTGTTTACTTTACACATACGTGCGCAAAATAGCTTTTCTCGAATTAACAAAGACCAAAATCGATTTTGGTGCGTATTGTGTATAATGCCGTCGACGCATGGCTCGTTTATTTACTAGCCTGTCTATTCTGTTTTTTGATTTTTTTCAAATCCATAAGTTATAGTTCGGAATATCCGTATACTATGAGGTATACATATAATTAAAACGAAACCCATGGATTGATTTACGAGGCCGCAGTGGTGTGTACGGGCAATGATACAGTTCGGTCTTGTCGACGCACCTGAAAAATCAGCAGACTATCGTGTAATTACCGGCGAGAGCACGAAACCACGTTTAACGCACTTCTCGACCTGTCTTGTCTCACGCCGATAAAATCATGTAAAATAATTACACGCTTTTG